GGAGGGAGATTGTTTGGATTGTTTAATAAAGGAACTTAAGTTGCTAGTGCTGTGACAGCGGTTTTTTGTACAGTTGACGTGCGTTCAATCTTTTTCGTTTGCTTTGTTAAGCATTCCGATGTTTAAGATAGGCATTATTCAACAAAATGACTGTCTGAAAGAATTTTTGTTTCATATTCTAATTTTCCGTCGATGCAGCTGACAACTTTTCGACTTCCATAGTTGCTTTTAATAAATACTCCACACCCTGATGGTCAGTGGCTGATGACCAGTGAGGTGGCGATGGTCATTTTTGGATTTCTTAAGAGAAAAAGTTTATTTGCATACATATAACCCTGTATTCAAACCGGTGTTTTTGAATCCCATTTTCCATTATTGCATCTAGTGGAGCTTAAATATTTGATTTACCTTCTAAGGGGCTGCTAGTTTAGAAGTTCTCTCGATAGAATCACTTTAGTAAGGCTTCAGCTGCTTCGAGATGTTCCTGATGTTGCTGAGCGTCACCACTTCGTCTCGGGCGTTTTCCCTTTTTATCGATAGTGAAGTACCTAATAATGACAAGCACTAGTAATAATAGTATTTTTTGGCATTGAACTTACTCATTGCATTAATTTTTGCATTCGTTCATATTCAACTTAGCTTTTTTCGAACTTAACTTTTGCGTCTTGTTATGTTGTTCTCCGAAATTTTCTCATTTCTGTGCTTTGTTCTTCGAAATTTTTTGCATTTTTTGCGCGTTTTTCGATCATCCCACCAAATGGTCGTTTGTTAACTGTGATTGCATCGGTAGTTTCAGGGCAATGGACCTGGGCGAGGGGATGTGCATGGTATGTGGCGATCGTTCGGCGGGCAAGCATTATGGTGTAATGGCATGTTACGGTTGCAAGGGTTTCTTTCGGCGAACAATCCGTTCCGGGCAATCATACGCATGCCGATTCATGCAAAAGTGCTCCATTGACAAAGGTTATTGTTTTCGTTTATGTCTTTTTTTTTTGAATTTTTCCAAATTTTGTTCATTTTGTTGTAATTTTAGTTGGTAAACATCAACACCTTGCCATTTATTTAGGTTTCTTGAAAAAGAGTTGAGAAGAGGAAAGGTGAGGGAGGAGGCAAGTTTTTTCTTCTTTTTTTAAAATAAATTGTTTGGTACTTGGTAGGTATTCAAGTATAATTTCGTCATTTAGTTTTTTTCCACTCGATTTTAAGGGGGTAGGAGAGAAACCCCTCAGTGCCCCGAGCCTATCTCTCTGGGTCAAAACGGCCCACAGTAGTTCCTAATCAGCCTTGTGGAGAAATTTTTTTTAGCTAAAAATTTCCTAGTTTAGAGAGTATGCCAGAAAGTTTGCTTTACTCGATCACAAAGAGTGTGAATGACGCGCATTTTCATTATCTTTCTAGTAACGTTTACACATCTGTTTAAGACAAAGAGTGCATTTTTTTTTTTGAAATTTTTCTGAATGCATTCATTTTTCGCACATTTCTGGATTTGAAATTTCTGGCCAACACTTCATTTTACAAAAAACCAATAATTTTCAGTCCGCAGAAAATTAGAAAATATCCAGAATTAAGCGTCACTTAGTTTGCATTTTAAATATGAAACATGCACCAAGAATACCAAGACCGCTCGGGCATTAAACGAGGGATCCATGTTACTGGTGTTGCTGGGGTCCGCAGATACCTGCGCACGCATGTCAACTCTTTCGATTCTGGGTTGCGTTCCTTAAGGTAGTATTTTCTAAATATTAAATGCTTAAAAATGATTCTTTTTATAACACTTTCCCCGTTATTTTTAGACCAGCGAAATGCATGTCGTTTTTGTCGATTTCAACGGTGTCTTGAAGTGGGCATGGAACCTGATGGTAAGTTCCTGCTCTCAAATTTTTTTCGATTTCTCCACATTTGGAGTTATGGTATGCCATTTGAAAACAAACGAGAACTTACCAATTCGGAAACGGTGGTGAGGGGGTGAGACTGGAGGTTCTGATAAGGGGATAAGCAGTGTTCATAGGCAGCTCTCGGGGTCTTTTTTGGAAAAACGAGATGTTGCGATTTACGTGGACGAATTCGCAAAAGCTTTAATTTAAATGTCCATGGCGAATTTTGCAAGGGCTGCGAATTGAGTTTCAAGAATATCGCAGTAAACTTAAGTTTAGTGACGAATTTGACGAAGTTCCAAGGGACTCTTTCTGCAGATGCGGAGAGGACCTCGAGAGTTTGGGTTGGTGCTGTGTGATAACCGTAAGCGTATTTTTCAGCTTTTCAAAAATCCTCTGTTCTATTTCAATTTTCCAGCTTTTCAAACATCTTGTGTTCTACAACTTTTTTTTTCAGCTATTCGACCGGATCGCGATATTATCGGGAAACAGAAAAACCCGCGGCGCAAGAAGCTTAAGCGTGAAGACAGTTCGTTGCCATCGCCTGGCGCTGATTCTCATTGGTACTCCTTTTTCTTACGGTTTGCATCACAAACTTTTAATATCTTTTAGTACACAATGGGTATGTTGTTGGGAGCATGGCATAGCATTAAGTAACGTAAAATTTCGTTTCAATTTTGGGTGATAAGTTTGAGTGCGGCATTATGATAACCGGACCTCTCCAGTTCTTTTATTCCTTCGATGGTAAATTGGTGCTAATGCACATGCAAGGCAGTCGAACCGTGGTTAATTTGCGTAAAAGTGAACTCAAAAATGGGACCTATTGTCAACTTTACCGGCGTGTGGTCGCTTCTGGCACACGTTACCAATTAGAACTACTTCCGAGTGATTTCGCTTCTTAAGTAGAGCCGTGACCAACATAATTTTTCATGAAGGCAGCTTTTCAACCGTTTGGTGAAGGCTTAATAGGATTTCAAGCATAGCTGCGGAGGAGTTTTATTTGCTTAATTCTTTTTTTTTTTTCATTACTCAGTGAGGTCAGAACTGTGGCTCCTGT